ACAAATTATGTTGCCAACAACATTGTTCGAATTGAAAGCATGGAAGTGAATAACGTATACATCTTAGGCACGCGCACAACGCCTACATATTGTCTGATTCTAGAATCTGTGGTACATGTGGGTGGACCTTTTCCCCGAGATCGGTTAATCACTCTCCAACCGGCCAGCCAGCGGTTTAGTCAACAAGAAGCAAATACAATACAAGTACGAAAGGAGCTCGTTTAACAAATGCAACCTTATTTTTAAAACCTGGTTAATTATTATCGTACCCCATTTATATTCCTTTCCTTGCCCATGTTCCAGAGTATATATCTCTTGTTCCTTAATTTGCTTGTCTTCCCTCATTTATTTTGAGACTTCTTATCTGCAATCTTTGTTGACTTTGGTCTTACATATCCCATCTGCTAAATTAATTCTGTCGACTTTTTTGCAAATGCCCCTTTATCCAAGTTCCTACCTTAATTTTGTTATTCTGGAATAACTCCTTAACCTGCTTCTGTCCATTAGGGTGTGGGAATAATCCAAAGTGATGTCGCAACCAAATGTGTAGAATGATTCATGTTAAAGACAAAAATTTTACATTTGTCACCAATCTACGATAACCCTCTCCTTGGTCCATAGGACTGACTACAAAGAAACATAGGCAGAATTAACATAACAAGTTTTTAGGTCATTGTGGATGATTGTATTATCCGCTCACTGGTGTGGGTGTTCATGTATCTTATCCAAAATTAAGAGAGGCCTAACAGACTGGAGAAGCATGTTTTTGTTTCTTTTTATTACCACGATTCTAGTTGATAATGTTTGCAAACTAGTTTTCCGTACTTCTTTTATATAAAGATGGAAATAACTATTGAAGCTGATTATTAGTCATGAGTACCCAAAAGAAAAAACAATTATTGAACTTGATAGAGGAGCAAGGTCTCCAGCATGTGATTTTCATGACTAGTACATATGCACATATATATGTTGAACTACTTAATCTAATAGCTTAAGTTTTTAGAGAGGCACATGTATTCATCTAAATCGTGTCTTCAACATGCCCTTCACATTTAGGCCAGGGTTCATTTTCTCATCAAAGATCTAACGTCTACAATTTTTTAATAAATTGGTGGCGGTGAGAATTGAACTCAGGTCTTTGTCTACTTTGATACCATGTTTAACGACTTGATCTAAAAACTTAAAGTTTTAGAGTAGGGCACATGTATTCATTTAAACTGTCTTAAACAGTATATATGCATGTATTGGGGGAAACTCCAGTTCATTTATTTGCCCGAGACAATTTCTTGGAATAAAAATGATTTGGTGCTTCTTGGCCATCTTTTCTGCTCTAGGTTATAAGTGAGAATTCAAGAAATTTCCAGCAGATCATTGATATAAAGTCTTGCTAAGTCTGTTTCTTTATCGTATACTAACATTTGCATTTGCATTTACATGCACCAGTGCTTATGGATGACCAAAAAGAAAATGAAGCAGTAGAAGAGCTGACAAGGGCAATTGCTTTCAAGCCTGATGTGCAAATGCTTAATCTTCGAGCAGCATTCCATGAATCAATGGGTGACTTAAGCTCTGCTCTCAGAGATTGTGAGGCAGCACTGTGCTTGGATCCTGAGCACAAGGACACCCTCAATTTGTATAATTGTACAAGAACCCGAGCTGTGTCTACATAGACGAGGTAATATTTCGTCCTGTGTGAAATGATGCAATGGGGGCAATTTAATTTCGGTTTTGGGAGGAAGGAAAACGAAAATGTTTGAGCTTTTCCCACAAGTATTTGCTTCACAGAGAAGTGCAAGATGGTATTGGTTTCAAATGAAGGAACATTTTTAGACAAGAATATTGGAATGATTGGTAAAATAAGTTATCTTAATCTGGTGAGCATATGCTGAATGCTGATTATTGAAGCAGCTAAGGAGATGACATTAATTCCGCCTATGTTTCTTCATAGGTGGTCCTATAGGACAAATGAAATTTTCACACAGTAAACACTCAACTCAGGGTGGACAGGTTCTATGTTGTTACTATCTTTTTCAATGTATTGAGCTTGTTTAGAATTGTTTATACTTGGACTTGCTGTAACTTACTTACATTATTGATTCCCTAAAATGCATGGCAGGAGCTTTCATCATACTTTTTTTATGCGAAGCAGATTTTGCTTCAGGATGTCTTATGTGAAACAAGAGTTTTCTTTAGCAAATCAGAACTCGTAATTTCTGGTGTATGGAATTTATGAATTCTCGTGTAGTTTCCACCTCGCTCATATTTAGTTTATGAGTTCAATATGCGTTATTTTGTAAAGGTTCTTTTCTTTTTTGAATTCGGTCGAATTGAGTCAAATAATCTGTGTATGTCACTCAAATCTTCTTTCACTGGAAAGAAAGGTGAAAAGGGGACGGGAGACATGACAAGTAAGAGGAGGGTGGTAGCCTGTTAGTAGATGGGGTTGACAGAGGGTGGTGGAGGGGTTGGACTCATCGTGGGACATCCAAATGAGAGGTAGGTCGAAGGGATGGTGTAGATAAGGTGGAAATGGTTGGGAGCGACATGGTGGGGCAAAGGAGAGTGCAAAGGATGGGGGTAAAGAGGGTTGATATAAAAAATTTACGACTTATTCCCTTCAAAATGCACGTCCTCCAATTTTAAAAGCAAAAGTTACTATGAGAACTTATGAACAAGAGAGATTAGTGTTCACATTTATGTAAACCTGGTCTCAAAATTCCTTTATTTTATGCGACTTGATATGAATCTCTACTTTCCTCCTCTCTTTGTCAAAATATCCTATAAATGGCATTTCTCTTATCTTTTCGTTTCAAAATAACTATAAGATATCCCATATCCTTTCATGTGGAGCTCGACGCTCATAAATAAACTTCTTAGTTTCCAGTTTCGGTAACTTGTACTAAGACCTCTAAATATTAGTGTTTTAAAAAATGTAATGTGTAGCGATACGTGGAGGTCAAGTTATAGGTTAAGGGAGGCATATGCGTAAAAAATTGAAAAAAAATGTTTTCTTATTTTAATATTTTTTAAATTTTTAATCAATCAAAAGATTATTTAATAATTAAAAATAATGCATACCAAATATCTAAAACAGAATTATAGAAATTTTATACATTTTTTCAACCGTTTCTAACAAAAAGATAAGTTTCAAATATAAATCAATCCTTAAGTTTTAACTTAAAAATTTTTTTTAAAAAATTAAAAATAATATTAATGCTCGCCTAGGCGTGCATTAGCAGTCAACGGCTCGTTGACCGCTAAATAAAGCGCCAAGCCACTTGGCTTGACGTTTTCACCGCTCATCGTGTCTAAACGCGTCTTTTAGAACACTACTAAATATATATGTTTTGATAAGAATCATCGTCAATCAATCTTAGCTATCATTTGATCCTACTAATTCTATCTACAATCTCTTGGACACCTCTGCTACCTCATTCACCATGTTTTCAATGCAGGTAGCCACCCCCATTACACTTCTTGTCTCTATTTTTGTCTATAAACCCATTATTCCTTGGAAACGCTATCACTGAATTTTTGTTCCACTATCTTGTTTTACTAACTAAAATCTCTCACACTATTTTTTATATCTTAATTATTAAGTATTAATTAGACTAAGATTATTGATGTTGGAAAAGACTTATTGATGTAGCCAAAGTAAGAAACAATCAAATAGCGCGATCACTATCTCATAATATCTAAGAATATGGGAAATCCACTATCTTGTTGATTCAAAAAAGAATGTAGAGAACTCACTTGTTTATTAGAAGTTGAATATCGAGATTAGATCAAATGGAAATTCAGAGAACTCCAAATCTTTCAAAAAAATATCATAAAAGTTCAAATAGGAAGAGCGGTTATGAATTTAACTAATAATTCGTATTAACAAGAACAATTAACAAAACGAAATAAGACAAAAAATAACACAATCTAACGAGCTTCTCACTTCAAAAGAAAGCTCCCCTACAATGAGCTGCACTTCTTTTATGCAAAATCCTACTCCCTAAACATAATAAATTGCAAAGCATAATTCATCAAAATCTTCATGTTACAAAGTAAACATAAACAAAAATAAAATGCAAAGAACTGTCCCAAGTCGCGTACGCAGTTGTCAATTTGGTCAAGGTACGAGAGAAGAGAATATGAGCTTGTTGGAACATCGGCTTTTGACTGTATCAGAAGAAATTTTGAATACCCCAAGTCGGCTTTAACATATGGTTATGATATAAATTCTGTTTTTGGTTACTGTCATTATTCCAGGGTAATTAATTCTAATAATGAGAATTCAGATATGGTTGAAAATGTTTGCTTTTGCATTGGCAAGGAGGAGGTTACTGCAATGGAGCTAGAGTTGCCTCTCTTTCAAGACAATTAAAAGCAATGTTATATGAGATAAGATGAAGGATTCAATAGATTTTTCAGGAATGAGAGCAGCGAGATTGCTTAGTGTCTAAGAAATCAGATTCTTGTTTGCCAAATGTTGTCCAGGAGATTTTGTCTTTTGCTAATCGGTTTTGTTGTGAGGAAAAGAAATCTTCTTGTGATAACTATTTAGCTTCAATGGTTTCCAGTGTCAATGAAGCATTGATTCTTATGCTCTGGAGCAAAGAGCGAATCTTCTCACAGCCTCTTGCTTGCAAGTTGCAACTGATGCTTAGAGAGCTTCCAGGGTGTTTGCATAATTGAAACGTTATGAATATTGATGACCTCGAAATTGTGATCAACAAATTTCTCTCATCTGACCATAATTTTCTTCTCCTAAACTCACTGGTTTTACGCTTAAGTAGGAGAAAGAAGAGAAATGACTATCTGAAAGGAGGATATTCAGCTTTGCGTATCTTTCTTTGTTCCCAACTATGTCTATTTATAGATTTCTAGTAAGATCATGGGAGTTTATTACGTACTTTCTTTTCATGCCATATGATAGTCATCGGTTAGAGAACATCTAATTGAATCTGTTGGCTTTTCGCGTTATATTCACAATTGCACATATTCCTCCTTCATTGGTTGTGAAGACATGCTTTACATTCATATTCATGTGTTCTTTGATAACAATTTCTATAAATGTGAAATAGCTAGTGAAATCAGCTAAGTACATTTGCTCATTGTTCACGCTTCAAATTGACTATAAGGCATCGCGCTAAAAAATGCTCGCTTATCTTATCATGGGCTCGACAGAGGCATGGGTTCGCAACTAATCTTTTGTGAATTTTAATTGACAACAAATAGTCCTCGAAGTTTGAGTTTAATCATTTACGCTAGGTTTAGGACATGATTATTTAATTTCCATGTTATGCGAACTTACAAATATTTTGATTATATCTGAATTTATTTTGAGTATGGGCTTTTCATAATTTATTATGACTTATTTGATGCTCAATAAAAATGAAGTGGGATAATTAACAAATAGTTCCTGAAATTCGAGCTTAACTATTTATGTTTAAATAGCAATCTCGTGGTCATGAGGCAAGGGTTTTAATACTGAAATACTCAAGGATATTCCACCCACCAATGGTGGTGATGAAGTGAAGTGTTATGATTGTAGCCCTTTTTGCATATCAATGGGGCTATTGTGTTTTTCAAGGTACATGGTATGCGCTCATTTAATGCGCATATTTTTTTTTTGATCGGGTAAATATGAACATATATAGATCAAAATCATGTATACATACTTCGGGCATATCCGAGTGAATCAACAATGAAGTTACTGTAGAAAACAACTACAATGGGCATACCCATATGATCAAACAAGAGAGAATCAACACACAAATCAACCTATAGCTAATGTCTCATTTAATGCGCATATTACTCGTGTGTGATCTGGTCTATTCGTTTGAAGTATTTTTGGGGGCCTCTTTGTTGGATTGCTTATTTCCTCGATGGTCAAGATTATTAGTGACATGATCCAACGATTGGTATTCTTCATCGAAAACCATACTTTCCATTTTTTACCATTCATTACTTTTCCAAAGTTCCTTTCTTCAATCTTTTTACCCTGACCATTGTGTATTAGATGTGCTCTGTGTACTTTCGCTTCTTCTCGTGCATTTTCTTCTTTATTCGTCATTTACTTCATCTTGGTGAGTTTCTATCTGAAAGGGCCTAGGAAATCGATTCTTTAAAATGTCTTGTCAAAGTCATTTCCAAAACACATCCCTTAGTGCCAAATAATTATAAAGAAGTGCTACATGTCCATAATTACACGTGACACTGGATCCAACCATTAATTCAAATTTAAAACTTTCACATCAACAACATAATTTGGTCCCCGTCACATTATGGAAACTATTATGTACATATAGACTTTTCCATTTTTGAATACATCATTTCCAGGGTGTTTGCATAATTGAAAAGTTATGAATATTGATGACCTCAAAATTGTGATCAACAAATTTCTCTCATCTGGCCATAATTTTCTTCTCCTAAACTCACTGGTTTTACGCTTAAGTAGGAGAAAGAAGAGAAATGACTATCTGAAAGGAGGATATTCAGCTTTGCGTATCTTTCTTTGCTCCCAACTATGTCTATTTATAGATTTCTAGTAAGATCATGGGGGTTTATTACGTACTTCCTTTTCATGCCATATGATAGTCATCGGTTAGAGAACATCTAATTGAATCTGTTGGCTTTTCGCGTTATATTCACAATTGCACGTATTCCTCCTTCATTGGGTGTGAAGACATGCTTTACATTCATATTCATGTGTTCTTTGATAACAATTTCTATATATGTGAAATAGCTAGTGAAATCAGTGAAGTACATTTGCTCATTGTTCACGCTTCAAATTGACTATAAGGCATCGCGCTAAAAAATGCTCGCTTATCTTATCATGGGCTCGACAGAGGCATGGGTTCGCTACTAATCTTTTGTGAATTTTAATTGACAACAAATAGTCCTCGAAGTTCGAGTTTAATCATTTACGCTAGGTTTAGGACTTGATTATTTAATTTCTATGTTATGCGAACTTACAAATATTTTGATTATATCTGAATTTATTTTGAGTGTGGGCTTTTCATAATTTATTATGACTTATTTGATGCTCAATAAAAATGAGGTGGGATAATTAACAAATAGTTCCTGAAATTCGAGCTTAACTATTTATGTTTAAATAGCAATCTTGTGGTCATGAGGCAAGGGTTTTAATACTGAAATACTCAAGGAGATTCCACCCACCAATGGTGGTGATGAATGGAAGTGTTATGATTGTAGCCCTTTTTGCATATCAATGGGGCTATTGTGTTTTTCAAGGTACATGGTATGTGCTCATTTAATGCGCATATTTTTTTTTGATCGGGTAAATATGAAAATATATAGATCGAAACCATGTATACATACTTCGGGCATATTTGAGTGAATCAACAATGAAGTTACCATAGAGAACAACTACAATGGGCATATCCATATGATCAAACAAGAGAGAATCAACACACAAATCAACCTATAGCTAATGTCTCATTTAATGCGCATATTACTCGTGTGTGATCTGGTCTATTCGTTTGAAGTATTTTTGGGGGCCTCATTGTTGGATTGCTTATTTCCTCGATGGTCAAGATTATTAGTGACATGATCCAACGATTGGTATTCTTCATCGAAAACCATACTTTCCATTTTTTTTACCATTCATTACTTTTCCAAAGTTTCTTTCTTCAATCTTTTTTCCCTGACCGTTGTGTATCAGATGTGCTCTGTGTACTTTTCTTCTCGTGCATTTTCATCTTTATTCGTCATTTACTTCATCTTGGTGAGTCTCTGTCTGAAAGGCCTAGGAAATCGATTCTTTAAAATGTCCTGTCAAAGTCATTTCCAAAACACATCCCTTGGTGCCAAATAATTATAGCGAAGTGCTACATGTACATAATTCTATACATAATGGTGTCCGTAATTACACGTGGCACTGGATCCAACCATTAAGTCAAATCTCATACTTTCACATCAACAACAGGATTTTGTCCACATCACANGATTTTGTCCACATCACATTATGGACACTATTATGTACATATATTATGTACATGTAGACTTTTCCATAATTATATTCATCACCACTACTTATCCTTAAGTGGATATGTGATATTCAGATAGCTTGATAATTTGATATCTTAATTACTATCCTAATGTAGGAGGTAAGATGACAAATTAATTGTCACATCATCAATGATTGATAAGCATCGCTTATGAATAATAATATTCTCAGAGCGAATCTTCAAGAAATCGTTGTTGGCACTTATCACTCTGTTCCTTATTCAGGGAACACGATAACTCATTACCTAGCTTTTTTTCTTTAATACTTTTCTATTTAATTATATTTCAGCTGATTGTATCCTCATTTTATTTCATGTGATATTTTTTTACCACACACTACTTGTTTTTTCCAAAAAAGAGAAAAAAAAATGATGTATGATGACAAAGAAAGTTTCCCTACAAGATAAATGAGCTTAGGAGCATCTTCAAAAAGCTATATAAATACAAAATGTTCTTTATTTGATAGAGTTAGTGATTAAAAGTAAGTTTAAAAAAACTCTCTTTTTTAACCTTTTAAAATAGAGAGTGAGTTTGACTCTCCAAATTTAGAGTATTTTCAAGAGATTCTCTAAACACAAAATACTCTCTATTTTAGAGAGTTGGTGCTTAAAAATAAGTTTTAAGAAACTCTCTATTTTATCTTTTATTTTAAAGAGTGTGTTAGGCTTTCTAAATTTAGAAAGTCAAACTCGATCTCTATTGTTAATGTGCAATATTTGTATTTAATAAATTACAAATTTTAATACTCTACTATTTAAATTATTCAAATTACATTTGAATTTATTGGCCATTAACATATAAAAAAAATATGTTAAATAAGGGATGGAGAGAAATCAATAAATGCTCATTTGACAAAAAAAAAAAAAAATTCAAAATAGAGAGCTTGTTGGAGTGTATAAAGTCTACTCTATAAATTTAAAAATACTCTATATTATTCATAATATGTTCTTTATAAATAGAAATTCTCGTGAAAATGTTCTTAGAGTGTCAAATTTACTTTCTGTTCTTAATATACAATGATTGTATTTAATAAATTATAGATTTCAATGCTTTTATTTTTTAAATTATTCAAAATACATTTAAATTGATTGGACATTGGTATATAAAAAAATATGAAAAAAAATCAAAAAATATTTTTTTGAGAAAAGTAAAATAAAGAGTATCTTGGAGATATTCTAAAATTTGATTTGAAGGAATTAATTATCGAAGTCCTGTTTTTACATACTGACCAAAGGTTAGGTACTGCTTTTGGAATTTATCCCTGATGAACTCCAGCTTCCCAGAATCCACGACCGATCTGTCAAACAAATTCACCCAGGAATTAGATAATTGATAGCAGTTGAATTCAGCGAATCTTTAGCAGCTAAAATGGCGAGCAGCGATTCCCAAACTGAGATTCACAATGGTAGGAAGACAATAATGGTGAATATAAAGTTCAGCGGCCGATCCATACCGGTGAAAATCACCGCAGATTCCACCGTCAAAGACCTCAAATCCCTTCTTCAGCCTCTCACCAATGTCCTCATTCGCGGCCAAAAACTCATCTTCAAAGGTTTCTATATCTTTATCCGTTTGTGTATATTTATTCTAAACAAAAGAAAAAAATGCTCGTACTTGAAGTCCATATGCCAAAAATGTTAACAGAATTAAGTGTGTATTGAATCCTTGAAATACTACGTTCTTGTGTATGTGAAAGTAGTCCTATTTCGGCCCCAGATGCTAGAAATGAAAAATGGATAAGGGCGTATTAAATTCTTGATGATTAGTTTTTTGTGTGTTTAGGCAAGGTTCTATCGGATGAATCGACCTTGGAGTCTTCGGGGATCGCTGGTGGTTCTAAGATTATGCTTATGGCTTCCCAGGGTCTTCATCAAGGGGTATCTTTCTATTCCTTCGTCAATTGACTGGAGCCGACATTAAATTCTATTGTGTTTGATGTTTCGAGAATAAAATTAAGAGAAATCGTGGCAATGAATAGCTGTGCTTGATTTTCTCAAAACTAATGTACATGCAGGGATAGTTGTAGCTTGTGAATTTTGAAAGTAAATGAAATTTAGTAGAGAATAGAGTCTTTTACCTGTATTATGGCAATTTGGATATTGTTGAATAGGATGGTCCAATTAAAAAGGAGGCTACTGGATCGTCCAGTGTGAGGAGGGGGGCTGAAGTTGGGAGGGGAAAGAAGACTGTGGATTCAGTCGAGAAGAGTCAGCTTGAAAGGTGGAAGGCCACTGGGGTAGTAGCATTGTCTGAAAGCAATCTGAAGGTATGTAGAAGTAGTCTTGAATATAACATTAGAGGTATCTTAGTTTATACTGTTGTTGCTGTCTTGAATTTGGTCTCATCGGGCATTTATTAAATCCAAATCAAGCATTCTATTTGCTGTTACATTTTCTGCCTTCATCACTTGCCCTTGTATTTTGATTATTTCTTCTTTAAATAAATAGAATTCTTTCATCCCTATCAGCTGATGTAGCTATTCAACAAAAAATCTTGTGCAATTCCACAATCTTCCTAGTTCATGAGCTTATTTCGGAGATTTCCACACCATAAATGAGAGAAGAAGGAAAAAGATTTTATTATTGCTCAAACCTAATGAAATATTCGAGTCCCTGAGTAATGAAAACATGTAGAGCAAAGTTCATTAGTATAAACACAGCAAAAGACCTCCAGGATTTTGTTTTATGCAGGAACACCAATGTCGTAAAGTCTGCTCTATATATGGTCTGTCACAGATTACAGTGTGGCATGCATTATGAATGATCAAAGCTTATCATGAAGTTTAGTTCTTAGTTATCCCTGGAGGAAAGGAGGTAGAGTTGGAAGTTGCCCATAAAAAGCAAAAAGTTTATACATTTTCTACACTGTTTACAGCAATTATGAATGCAATTGTCCCACATTGCATGAGGTACTAAAAAAAAAAAAAAAAAGTTTCATGCAAAATTTTGCTGCTCTATGAGAATGTTTTTGTTTTTGTTTTTGTTCCGACAGGAAAGTATTATGGATAGTGCTCCATCCCGGAACATATTTCTGTTTTTATTGGATGGAAGACTTTCTTAAACTTTCGATGTACACCTTTTATTTGCATGTAATATTCAGGTGACTAATGTTGGCAGCACGTGGCTTGTTGGATCCTTCTGTTTTTTACCCTTGAAAGAGCTCTTCTTTGTTTGAATTTGTCAGACCATACCTGAGGAAGTGTGGACTTGTGGACCTACTGCTAGAGTCCTTGATTTAAGCAACAATTCAATACAAGATGTTCCGGCTGCAATTGGCTGTTTAAGTTCAATACAGGTCTTGAAATTTTCATTTACATTTTCTTTAATTTGTCTTCCACAAGAATGGAATCAAAGTTGTTAATGTTGCCTTATTTTTATTTATTGAACTGTTGTGTAGAAATTGCTTCTTAATGCCAATTCTATATTAGACGAGTCCATCAGCTGGGAAGGAATAACATTGCTCAAGTCTCTTGCAGTTTTATCACTAAACCAAAATCAGTGCGTGTATTCCTCTTCTCACAGTTTCTCTTATCATGTTAAGTTATTCAATTCAGACAACATAAAGAGCATTTTGGGTTGAAATCAACTAAAGTGTTCTTTTCATTACTAGCATTCATTAATTTGTCCTGCCTTCCTTGTTCTTGCTCTTCTTGTCTCTGATCCGTGCATTTGCTCAAGTTATTGAAACGGCGGGTCCGGTCCAATTACTTGATGCAAAGACTATCGGGATAATTGCTGCAAATAATAGCAAGCACAATTTTCCATAAGCATCAGTCAGAGAAATTAACATAACAAAGCCAGTGATACTGTTATTCAACATTGTCTGACGAAAGACGCCAAACCTTTAATGTTACACTCTTATACTCACATCTACATAATTCTTCTTGATTGACCTCAAAACCTCTGAAATTCTTTCATCCCTACTTATATGAGAGAACTGTTTATTAATTGGAAACAAGGATTTCATTAAATTTACATCATTGTTTTTCTTTTTGCTTGATTAGAATTTTCAGGTCAGGTGGAGCAGCTAAATTCTGTTGAGAACCTTGTATACTAGCAGTTTTGGCCCCATAAGCATAGGAGGTTGATACATATTATAATAATATAGCATAAGTTCAATACATGTTATCTCAAAAAATTACAAAATTTTGACACATTCCGTACAATCTTGGACCGGTGTGCTTGTCAGATTTCTAAACACAATTAGACCCATAACTTGTAAAAACTACTTAAAGCCTATTTTTGCATATTCAAACGAAAAAATAGCGCAAATCATGTTTTTTATTTCAGAAGAATTGAAACAACCACCAATCAATAATTAAATATAAAAAAGAAAAAGAAAAAGAAAAAAATTAAGAGTAGTTCTGTCTTTATGTAGTCGGAATACACTGCAATATTTATACAAATATAATTTTATATATCTCTGTTCTCTTGCATGCCTAGAACTCTTATTCCCTCCTTTGCCATTGCCCATGACACAGTTTGACGACGTTGCCCTCTTCGCTGGGTGCTTTAATGTCCCTGAAGCAACTTCATGCTACGAATAACAAGTTAACGTATCTCCCAACTGAAATTGGATATTTGACAAAGCTCGAGGTTTTAAAAGTTCAGAATAACAGGTAAGATGTATGCAATAAATTATTGGTTAGTTTTCATGTCTGCTTATCTGTTGTTAGCACTTCTTTTGTCTGAAATAATTAGATGCTGTATTTGATGCTTGCTTTTCTTTCTATTCAATATTCTCTATTTAGTTTGTATGATCATACTTGCTTCTATGGTGAACTCCATTTACTTGAGATTCTAATCTGCTTTTACATGCGACATGCACCAGGAATTTGTCTTGAAAGAATTAATTAAGCTTAAACTGCCAAGTGAATGATGCTTTGATATTTTAATTTGATATATATCTTGCTCCAATGCAGGCTAAGCAGTATTCCTGCAAGTATAGGGGGGTGTATTTCTCTCATTGAAGTAGGACCCTGTTCAGTTGATCCTATCCTTTATTTCTTTTCTTGGTTGTCTCTTGAAAGTTAAAATCTTTTCTTTTTAGTTTGAGATATTTTTGACAATGTTCAATTTGATGTGATGCAGGTTGATCTTTCGAGTAATCTCCTGCTAGAGTTGCCAGAGGAATTTGGCAAGTTAAAAGATTTGAAGGTTAATGGTTATCTGTCATTGTTCCTTTTATTTTAAAATGTAATCCCCTCTCTTTATAGTGACTTAATGAAAGCAATTCGCCAGAACCTATGTAGATCTATTTATTATTGAAAGAGGGCTTAAGCATTTCTGGCTGAGCTTAAAAAGTTTAAGGAAATTTACTCAGAAGTAAATGAGTCAGTTTTGAAACAAAAAGAAAAAAAGAAATTATTGGTCAAAGTTGGAATTCGGAAATAATTAAGTTATTTATTCCGAGAGTAAGTCAAGATTTATTTTTAGAAAAGAGTGACTTTTTACTTAAAAGTAAGAAAAAAATACCTCTCGAACATGTTTGGAGATTGAAAGTTAACTTTACATTTATTTAAGCTTAGCCAAACATGTTTAAAAAGGAATCATTAATAGGATGGGTAACAAAGCTCAGCTTTTCTTGAACCAAATACCCATAGGGCGGAGTAAAAGGAGTATATAAACCGGTAATTCTTCACATTTGAACATCGTGCAGGCTTTATATCTCAGCAACAATGGCCTCAAGTCCCTTCCCATCACATTGTTCAAAATGTGCGTCCAACTCTCGACACTTGATCTTCATGGAACGGAAATAACAGCGGATCTTCTCCGCCAAGTAAACAAGTGCCTTGTTATTAATGAAAGTTTTTGGTGTGCTTTTATTGAGGTCGTGCTCACTTAATTTCTTTTGACAGTTTGAAGGGTGGGAGAGTTTTGATGAGCGTCGTCGTTTAAAGCATCAGAAACAACTGGATTCCCGAGTCACTAGCTCTGCTGAATTTGATGAAGGTGCTGACAAACGTTGGTAATATATAACAGCTAGCATTTGCTCATTGAAGATCTGCTTGCATGTAATGAACCGGAAATTCCCATAGGGCATTCGTCTTGTACGATGATCCATTGAATGTTGTTTTTCAGTTTGTTGAGGGATTATCTCAATCTCTGTAACATTGATTCATGTTCCCCTTCCTTTTTCCTTCCGTATTTACTGAAATACCATCTCGGTAAAAAGTATCATCCTCCTTTTTTATCTTAGGAGTCCTAGATTTGCTTGTTTATTGGTATTCTTGAGCTAGAGATGATCCAAATGTACCGAATTCCCAAAGCCAAGAATGAAAGTAAAACCATAAGATTAATTTCATTCAACACCATAAGAATAGTGCTATTTAGCATAATTGGTGTCACCATTCTAGATGGCAGCACTAATAACATTAAATTACATGTTCAATTAAATGAATCATATAATTTTACATTTGTGCAATTCTATCATATAATGCTACATAGACTAGTGTTCAGCACCATTGATGCTAGATAATATTATTCTAAGATAAATGAAGCAAAAATTATTGATGAATGGATATATTGTCATAAGCAATGAGAATAACGCTGATGAGGATATATCACAACAGCAACAATTTAAGTAGTTCGTACACATTTTGCATAGATCGAACATTTTGCAGAGACCTAAAATAGCTCTCAATCAATCTAACATAAGTTCAGCATGCCAGCAGCGGCAGTGAGTCTCTGATAGCACCCAACCGACCTGTGAAAACCAGCATAGAGTGTTCGACACAAATGCTCCACCCAGCAACAAACACTACAACAGCAAGCATAACATTCAATCCCGCAAACACAAATCGATGCAGAAAATAAGTAAAGAAAGCTGTTCAATCCTTCATGTGTCTCTTCGCTAGTTATTACCAAACTTCTTGTCCTTGGTATATTGGTCATATTTATTTTATACATGGGGCGTTGAACTGTTATTAAAAATAGAACGTTATAGATATATCATCAACTGAGTATTAAAATGTAAGGATTGCGGTATATAAAGAGCTTGTCCTACAATTCTAAAATCCTGTGGTCAATGTTCAAGAAAAGCTAGTTGAAGTATACTGATATCTGAGGGATGTCGATATCATTATCTTCATCGTCCTCGCATGCTACTACTATATCCAAGTGGTGGCGGTATGGTGGCAGCTCAGCCTTTGCCACTTCCCGTGCAACGTCAACTATCTTCTTGTCCATTCGCTCTTTGTGCCTTGGGAACATGCTATTGTAGAGCAAGCAACTTCCAAATGAAATACTATAGGCATTTAGCCCCTTGTCCTCGAGCCATTTGAGTAGTTCCCGAAGTGTAGGGTTACCTTTGATTATCCATCTGTCCCACACAGTCCAGCTCATGTCCTTATACTTGATGATCTTAGGAGGAACTGGTTCGGCCATGGAGAATAATGGTAGAGCTAAATTAGCAAATGTGTTACGATAGTCTTCTAACTTGTGCCCTCCATTAATAACCTTGTAGAGCTCCAGGCAAACCAAACCTGTAGCCATCGCTGTGGAAGTTGCAATTGCGGGTATAATACGTCCAGCAATGAATTTGGCTTTTAACTTATCAACTTCAAGAATGCCATAATTTCTTGCCCTCATGTTAGCAAGTCCAGCAATCAGGTCCATGTGGTAATTTGTATCATCATCCTGCATATTCAATAAACAATGTCAAGAAAAAAGGTAGATGTAGAAGTAATGTGATACTTGACGATTTTGCCAAAAATATAAGAACGGATTGCACAAGATTGAAGGGTTTGGTAAAAGGGGAAGTGGATGAGATGGAAAAGGGGAAGAACCATATTTTCCATCCTTCATGGAAAAAATGCTGATCTATTTGCCATATTTAGTGTGATGAATAGAAAATGGTGAGGGAATTACCTTTTCAGGCATTTTGCAACGGATTGTAGTTTAAAATCCGCCATGTACTTTAGAAATAAAATTGTGAAAATCTAATCTTCCACCTTATTTTACATTCCTTCCTCTTTTACTCTAACCAAACAAAGGAAAACTTACTTCCTTTCCTTTCCACACATACATCCAATATGAGTAAAGACACTTCACGAGGCACATTACTACTTCCTTTTGACTTGCAAACAAACAATGTCAAACAGAGTCACAACATACATGTGTAAAATAAGGATAGGTCCCATTGAGGTGTAAGATTATAACAAGATATGCATCATCTTATATCTTTAAGAGACAATGGGACATACTTTTTCAAATTGAATTGGTTTCATCCTGAAGTTTGGCAATAACTTCTGCCGAATCTGCTCCAGCTTCATTATTAACTCATTAATAACCACAGCATCATCCAAAGAAGCAGCAGCAAGACTGGTAGCCTTCTCATCAGTAACAATTTTCGCATCTTTCTTTGGTTGAAATTCAGGAACCATGATTCTATCAAGAGTTTCAGCCAATTTCTTAGGGTGCCAATTAGGAACAGGAATGCCAAATGTCTGAGCGCGTAGAATGGATGCAGCCATAAGGAAATGGAGATGGCTGGGATCATCAGTAGAAAACTGCAGGGGGCGAGGGAACCGCTTGGGGGCTGACCAGAATGGTACGCCAGTACTAGTCACAGCATCTTCAGGGAAAGTATAAGTCAACTGTTTCACCCTGTTAGCAAAATAATCTTCGAACCTACAAGAAAGTATTCAGATGCATAAGGAGAGCCGATTCTATTTGATACAAGCTTAAAACAAAATAAAATCAAGAATTACTTTAAACGAGCCCATGTAATACAATCCTGGAACGATTCACATCTTTCCCTGTCAAGGCACTCGAGTATATGTTCCAAATTGTCTCTGGCTTGAGCATCACCAGCATTTCTCATTGCAGATGTATATTCGGCTGGGTTAGAAAGATAGGCATTTACTTCAGCAGGTGTTTTCTCAAGCAAGCCCTCAAATTCTGATCTGGCCCATGTCAAGCAATGATCAATGTTGTGTGGGAAGGAGTGCACAGTACACATTGGTGCTTGTTTCTCAGGAGGATCTCTTGAGGCGCCATAATTCTCAGTCAGATGCGGAATGACCATTTGAGTGTTACATTTGGCACCTAATGTTCCAGATTCAAGAAGTGGCTTCTGGAAATACAGGCATCTTTGATCAACATAAAGCCTGGCATTGACATTGTCAAGGGCATTAATAACAACATTCAGATTTTCCCAGAAGGTATCATCAAAAACATTCTCTGTTTCAGGACCCACACGATTCTGCAAAGCTTCA